AAGTGAACGATACGGGTAAATGTTCCATTTTGGATGGCGATTTAGCTTACACTCTTAGTGAATCAAACATGGTCGTGGATATGGGTCATATGACATTTTACGACATTCACCCCAGTTCATCATATATGCATACCGAGGAGAAAAACATTGCCGAAAATTTCTTTCGCTATTTTGAGAACATTCAAATTTTAATTCATAAAAACAAACAAGACAGAAAAGCTAGACGTGTATACGAACAAAAACGTGTCCGTGATAGTGAAACGGTTTACGATGGCAATGAACCATGGTTAAATTTGTTTGATTTGATGAATGAAGTTGATATGGTCAGCTCTCAATCGGATTTGATATACAGAGACCCTAAAATAGAGCTTATCGACGGAGATATTAAGGAAGCTGTTTGTTTTAATCCAATAGCCCTTGTTAAAGAATCGTAGTCCTGAAATAATTATGAAGAAAAAACAAACCCATTCGTCGGTACCGTAAATCATAAGTTATTGAAGACCAGAAAATCCCGTGACAGGCCATTATTATTTACAATAAAAAAAATTCTAATTGAAGAAAGATATGACCCGCTCTTTAATTTATTTAACACTATTATGTTTAAGTACTTTAAGATAAACAGTTCAAACGTTTCAGCACCAATTTTATAAGGCAAAACTTACTCTTAAAATCTTAAAAAAAATATTCTTTTTTCTTTTAATTGAAATAAATCTTTCTGATAATGTACTAATAAGTAGTATTGTTAAGGGGGTTCGGTACAGCGGAACAGATCAATTATACGAGTATGGGAGTGGGGTTGGTCGCCGATCGGTGTGTGTGTGGCGTTGGGGGGGGGGGGCTGTTTTCCTTGTCTATCTTAAATCAGTATGTTGTCTTCAAATTTTAGAGGAGCCGCAGTGATCTAGTGAGTAATCACTGACACGCTAACCATGAGGTCCCCGAACCCCCCCCCACCCCGTCTTGACCCAGAACGTTAATCCGGATTTTCCTACGCGGGTTGTCCTCGTCCGGTGTGCCTGGCCGAGGATCTGGCTAGGACAGTGTCTAGTCGCTCGGATAGGACGTGTACGCTGTCCGAGCTAAATTCCTTCATAATCCACTTGATTAGCTAGGTCGCTACAGAAAAGTAGGATGCTAAATGAGTAAATCCCATTTCATTTCAAGCTACTTTCTTTTTATAGCAGTTAGTTTCATATCTAGGATATTAACAGTGTGTACATGCTGCCACGAGCATATCAAGGGTCTTTGTATTGTACGCTCCATTGTCTAGACCTAAGATTGTTCAAAGCACTGTGTCATAGACTCCATAGAGGATAATCGAACAACACAAAATTTCTGTCTAAACATGACTTCTTAGGATATTTTTAAGGCCGCCAAAAACAGACTTACCGTAGTTTTAGGATGCTATTGTTATTTATTTAATTATACTGATTAATGGGTTTTGACACTAGACACGAATGCCGCTATATTAACATTTTCTTGTACATGACAATCTTAAATCTAGTTTTGACTAATTTGGAGATAGTGCTTTTAAACGATTTAAAGTTGTTATTGATGGCCATGACTCCAAATGGGTGCCCGAACAAGATCTGCACCAGTTGTCATGTGTAATCATTGTGATTGATAATGCTTGTGATTGATTATGATTTTTATAGCCCATATGTAGTTTGGGTGTATACTGTCGGTCCGTGCGTCAACAATTGGCTTGAGAACGCGGTAGCGGCTGTATTGTACATGGGAGGACGAACCCTATCAATTTATGCGTTCCGCGACGGATTGAAAACCTTGTGAATGCGATAGAGGCTATAGTTTTTAACGGGTCTTTTTCAAATTGTGGGGAGGCATTGGGGCAATGAGAAGACGAATCCTATAGCTGCTCAGTGTTTCGTACCGGACTTACCCCCTTTGCCCCCAAACTTGTCAACGCGATATAAGCTATAATCTTGAATGGATATTTTTTTTATACACGTGTCTTGTTATTAATTTCAAAGACTATATATCACGTCGTTGGATACATTGAGAGCACCTGCCCTCGACGGCCAAATTATTTTTGTGAAATAACCAATTTGCGTGTAGTATGATGTGTTGTATTGCCATATCATTTGTTTTGTTATCCATTTCACCTGAATTAGGCAATCCTATTTTTGTAAAATTGTAAGTTACAGTAATGCAAAGGCAAGTGAATAAATACGAGGTGAAATCAGAAGTTCTAGAAAGAGGAAACATATTTTCCTCATGCACGATACTTTTATTATTTAATAGCTAAATATCTTGACTATACATTTGAGAACCCCTGCCAAATAACCTGTACATAATGTACAACGAGTCAAGATAAGCAAACATATCAAAACCATCATACTATTTGACGAATGGACACACAAAAGTTATTAATCCGATAATTGTTAATTAGAACAAAATACGTCTTCTTAAACGTATTTTTAACAAATGTGCAACGTTTGGACCACAACGATTTTAACCAAACTCTAACCAGTTAACTGCTCAAAACGTCGGTCCACCGTGCAAATTTTCCCACCTGATTGCAAACTACCAACAACGTTCTTTTTTCTAAAAACATTTAATAAAGAAAACACTATCAAAATATTAAGGTTTCAAAGTTATGTGTTCAATTTGGATGCACGAACGATGCTTGAAGGAATTGTTGGCAGAGTAGAAAATTCATCTGATACAACAGCAACAATCATCCGAAAGATGATGATAAATTATGCTACAGGCCGATTAAGCATTACACACGACTGCCGGTCTGTTAAGATAAATAATTAGGCTTTCGATTGATAGAAATAGGTATTTCGTCTTTTAGCCCCCCGATCAACTAAACAATGAGCCATTCGGAACGGCGGAGTGGGGGGCTAGTGTATCTTTAGCCCCCCCCCCCCCCACCTCAATAATTTGGCCGCAAGTACCCTGTTCTCCAGGTTATTGCACGCAATTGTAACTATTCAGTTAGATACAGTGACGTAACTGGAAGAGAAGTGAGACTTCTAGAAGTAAAACGTAGACTTTCAAAAGAAAAACCCGTGGTTAAGAGCCTGGGTTAAGAGCCCCAAGTTGCGAGGGTCGCGATTGGTTAAGTTTACTGAACGTTCGAATATTTCATTCCATCTCATTTCCGTTGTATCTATGACAGATTGGCTAATTAAAACACGACGGGATAGAGTTTTTCTGTTTTTCTAACATTCTGCTGCAGGGGCTAAAGCTCTACAATGGAAGGTCTTATGCGTACCAAAGTGAAACTCATCCAAGAACTTTTGATCCTCAACACATAGTTTAATTTTTACTTCATGAATTGGACAAAAATTGTCGCCTCCTGGGAGATCCACAAACTTCATTCATATTTCACATTTTGCGTAAAAGGCATTAGGCATAATTTTAGAACGAACTCACCCAACACTCGTTTTAAGTTTCATCCAAGTCGGATAAAAATTGTTACAACCTTGGTTTTACACAATTTGCGTAAAGGGGGGCGGTCATTTGACGGGAAGTTTTGGTCCGATTTTCAGGAATTTCGAACTCAACCATGTAACGGTGATATATTTGAACGATTTTGAAAATAAGATGAAAATTGCTACCTCTAAGCTAAAAACGTGATTTTTCGGACTACAAAATCGGAAATAAATTGTGACCTCCCAGCCGTACCATGCGATAGAGCACGGTCGGGATAGTTCAAGGGTGGCTGAAAAGGCTGGTACGTGTGTAGATTAGTTTAAAAAATATAAAATTGCCGATTGCCAATGCGTTATTTACACCATAGATCGTATTTGAGGGTCCATGGTAACACCCGGAAGTTAGAGAATGAAGGTTAGGGTATGGTTTATTCGAGTATTCTTGATGAATTTGACAAATTAAGATTGGTAAAATGATCCATGTTACCAGTTAACCCGGATGGAGTCAGCGTTGTAAGAAAGTGTTTAAAAAGCATCCCTTCATCCCCATCGTCAAAAATATAGTTTTAGAAATGAGTAAATAGCAGAAATATAGCAGGCGAAACAACTGACATGGGCCAATGGTCCGGACCATTTACGTTCGGGTGCTGGTTCAGACATCCGATGGTCGCCCTGGGTATTATATGCTTTTACATTATTTGCGTAATCAAAATCTAATAAAAACTGTGACATCTAGAGTGTCCACAACCTTGGTAATACTATGTATATATTTGTCCAGTTCAACTTTACAGGAAAACAACATCGACTAGGGTGCTTTCGTGGCAAGGGGTTAAAAAAAACAACCCAAAAACTTCATTGCCGAGTAATTATACAAGCCAGAAATCGCTTAGAAAGCGTTTCCAACCATCTAGACACCTGAAGCTTCCACCCCAATCAAGAATTGCTTCCGCCGGCTCTGGCCATTTGTCAGTCTTTCCACCTTCTGTCTCGGCAGTGTCACATCTGTTATTACAGTTTTGAAAGTTGTACACGTGCTTCTTCCTCGAAACAGCCAGAATAATCCTGCAACATACACCCGGACCTTTGCCCGTGTTTTAATTGTACTTGTTTTGTGCATGGGACATTTGTGATTCCCAAAGTAACTTCAATTTAAAGCAGTGGAATATGTATTCTTAAATGGTATCACTAATTCGATCATACATCTTTATGGTTAATCAACTATATAAGAGAAACGGTGTAATTTCAACCAGACAGCCTATATACCCTCGTGGAATAAGACCTCGGTCAACATAACATGTTGTACGGTCATACAGATTGTTATGTCAAAATGGCCATAGATACACGCTCAAATATCACATAATTAAATATATTACATCCAATAGATATATCCCTCTTCGTGTCATCAAGAATATCAAACAACTCCAGTTATATGCCAATGATTTTACCTATAGGCTTGTACAATCCTTAATTAGAAAAGAAATGTTTGGATTTTTTCCCAATCTCAATCCGTCTTTACCCCGCCGTCTTTTTTATATTTTTTGTAAAGCTGTGGTATACTTTTCAGTAAGGTCTCTGATTCGAACAACATGAAACAGAAAAGTCTATAATAAATCTATTTTATTAAGGATAAAAGAGTAGACAATCGACACAAATATGACACTGTGTGTTTCGATAAAAATAAAATGATTATGTGCAAAAATAGAGTTTCGACTCACACGAGGCAACGTGACTAAAGGGTCGTATTTGAAACTATAGTATAGGTGTTTGACTACCCGAACTGCAAAAAAGCGAATAGCGAATATGCAAACATCATGAAAAAAATGAAATGCGTTCCAAGTCCTGCGGTTCTGCACGTCTAATGAAGACGTGTTATGAGAGAAAATTTGCTCGGTCACGGCGTTTCCGCCTACTCTTCATCCAATTCCAACTGTCAAGGGTTCTTTTCCGTGGATGCCAACTTCCGTGGGCATTTCGATTTGTCGTACCATCCGATGACTAGACACACCCTTTTCCGTACTACTGACCAATGGAAACAGCGTTGGAAAATCAAGAGGAATATTTTGTAGCCAAAACCGGAATCAAACACTGGCCACCAAGAAAACAAACTCACATATCTATATACGACAGGAATTAAGGTTGCGTGCGGTCGTTACCCTTTTGGTAAGTCCCGCTTGATTACGACTGCCAAAGTTAGACGAGAATATCTCCAGAAAACTAGAGTTATCAACTGTATTTTAAATCAAAGTGATGAGCAATAGATATTTAACTCGGCATCACTATTTTGGGAGTTGCATACTCCTATCAGCCGCTTTCAAACTTGCCTTATGTGTGCCGCTTAAAGATGCATTATGTAAGAGCTAAATCGGCTTATTGTAGGTCTTCTTTTTGGTTTCAAATATTATAAGAATTATTAATTAGGCACTTATTCACATCACAAGCCCATATTGAACTCTCTAAAGCATCAGATGACCCTGATTTTGAATGGATTAAAGCACAACAGCCATTTAATAATAATGGATAATCAAGAATTTATTTATTATTGTAACAATGGTAGGCATAGTTGACAATTGAGACACTTATTTTAACTTCGTTTAGAATAAACTAATTTGACTGAAATTTTCAATATATTCATTTTTAATTAGCTATGTTTGACTAGTATGGCAAGAACTTTCGGCTCTGTATCTAAATCTTACATAATGTATCTTTAAATAACAAAATATTTAGATTAGATTGAGAAAATACAAGAAGGAATATATGCCAATTATGGCTAAAAGAATCATACCGTTGTTGAACACGATAAGAGGACATAAGTTATAGGTCCACATAACATAATGTTTCATAAAACAAAACATTTACATGTATATAAAATCAATATACAAATATGGGATTTCATGCGGTACAATAATTATAATAAAATGTTATCAAATGTATAATGCACAACCAATTATAAGTGGAATAATAACTACAAAAGAGGCCATGAATGTATATTATGCACATGATCTGTCTTTCACCCGAATCCGCCTTTTTCCGATGACAGCTCTCTTCTTAATTGGTAACCTTCAATTATGTCGAACAAAGCATTTTAAAACGGGTGCATAGGTCGACAGAGATTGTTTGTAAGGCGAAACACGATTACACGAATTAATTCGATCGATATCTTACCCGTTTTAATAAAACACCTTTTTGTCTTCTTGCGTGAATATTTATATTTATTTACACAAATTTCACAACCTCATATCCCAGAAATATTCTAGACTCCAAATATCATATTCTAATCACATGGCACTGACAATATACCCGTCACACGTCCTTTAGAATACAATGTCATATAAATGTACCATTTTAAAATTCATTCCATCTTGGCAAGAATAATCCTATTAAAGCTGAATTCCAGGACTAGCAACGCCCATTTCTGGTTGACCTGACAAACGTATACTTCAAACATTTATCGTCTACTGATTGGCAAATATAACTTAGGGTGTCATATAGTCGTATTTTCGAATTACGCAAGAGGTCTGGACATACTATTTATCTAACAAACTCGATCCCATTTTTATGACGTAAGTTCAAAGCATCGGCTATCGGACCTACCAGTTTTTAAAATAATAGAAAATAGAAATGTTCTTGCTCGTAATTTAATTCAAGACCCCTCTGACATTAGACGCCCGACAAAGATGAAGCCGTATTCCGTTTTCAGTGTCGTTTGATAGCCGTCAAAGAAATTCAGCTTTAAACGCATTAACAGAGTATGAACATTTTAAGAATACATGCTCTCCTCTATGTTATCTCTAAATTCGTAGTAATCATCCAATAGAGTTAGGCCTATGTCGTCTGCTGAACTTTCTTGAGGCACAGAGAAAGCTGTAATTATAAAAATATAAAAAAATATATTTCTGCATATATGCATAAAGAGAGAAATGTAGCGTTAATTTGAAGCATTGAATTCTTTTACTTTTCTATTTTAATTTAAATAATCATACGTAACACTGAATAAAAATAATGAAGTTAACATAACGCATGACAATTGTTTCTAAGAATACTGATCACGGTTGTCATAACAATGATCTGGTCAACCGGTCAAACGGATCAGGGAACTTAGATTTGATTAGGGGGTGCTTGGCATGAGTTCTAAAGTTGTCTGCCATAAGCTGGAACGTGGCGGACATGATACATTTCAAAGAGTAATAGATGTTATGTAAATGAGACAATAACATAAAGCATTATGTGGGTATATTTGATTGTAAATAATTCAAATCCACAAAATTTTACATCAGATTCAGGATACAGGAATGCAAGGATTGGTGTACTGACATGAAGATGAATAAAGAATATGAACTAATAATGATACTTCGTATTTACGTTACAGTTAGGCTACACCACTACTAAACATAAAAGAAAATACTAGGAAAGAGCACATACATTTATATTATATGCCTTAACCTCCTGTTCGTCGACCCCCCCTCTAGCAGACAGTATATAAAATTGTCGGTTTTTTGTCCTTAACTCTATACTGTTGTGCTTCTACAATTTTTGGATAATATTAAAAATTATAAATTGTCTTATACAGCGCTAAATCATGTCCGCTGGTCATTTCTAAGCGCTTCACAGTGAGGTCAACTATTGTTCTTGCTCATATATTTGGTAAACAGATGTTTCTTTAGTGTTGACTTGAAACTTGGATATAGAGGTGTCGTGCGCATTTGTCGTGGAAGCTTATTCCATAAATATGCACCATGAACTGCTAAAGAATATTTTCCATACAATTCATTATATCTTATAGGAACCGAAAGCAATGTTTTATCTGCTGGAGATCGCAAGTTTTGTCGTGCAGTGTCAGAAAACATGGCTTTATGGATAGTTGTCAGAATATAGTCAAATCTAGCTTCTACCGGCAACCATTGGAGTTGCACAAGTCTATTGTTGATGACATCCGATATTTAGATAGGATATGCCACAAATCCTATATTACAATTTGCCGTCGGACTCATCCCCAAAACTCCCAACCTTCCTGGAACAGCAAGGTAGAGAGGTAACTTATTTGTGAACAGACTGCGTAACACGGAACAGGTTAAATTCCATATAGTGAAAAACATTCGACTAAAGGCAATGTGCACACCGAAGTTAAGTGGATATTAGCCTATAACAGGTTAGTAATCTACACACATCTAGAGGGTCAGATCTAAACACTAAGGCCACCATTCAGATCACGAGATGTAAACAGGGTCAGGGTATGTGAATGTTGCTGAGGATTGTGGGTTAGGGTAAAGGTTAGGGCTAGGTCTTGGGTTAGGGTTAGGGTTAGTTCTAGTCTAGCCCTGTCTCCTGGTCGCTCGTCAGTGTACGAAGTAATGACATCACCGGGTTCACGATAATACATTCAAAATTAATAGAACGCACTGTCCAAAAAACCTAATCATTAAATTGAGCACATCTTCATAACGTATAATCTCTAGCTTGAACACAAGGTTGTTAATACAAAGGACAATAACTACTAGCATGCACTTTTTAATGTAAGTTTGAGCACGTTTCATAACCTTGAATTCTTTTCTATATACAGCACATGTATATACATTCTAGTATACCCATCTGTTTCAAGATACATTCCCAACCTGTGGCACCATGGCTTAACAGAAAATGTCGCTACGAATATCTAGTCCTTCACATTTTATTAAGATCGGCATTGAATTTTATAATATTTTGATACATACAATCAAATTCAAATAAATTCAAGAGATGTTATAATTGGCACGGTGTTTTGCAAGTCTGTAAGGTCCGGGGTTTTCCAGCGTGGTTTCCTCTTGTCAGTGGTGCAGGACAGAGGACCTGACAAGTGCAGCTGTCTAGTCGTTCGGACGGTAAAGAAAACAGGCCTCGTGTACACATTGGCGTGCACGTAAGGATCCCTTGGCAACTGGAATTCGATATAAGAGTAGACCGCAGTGCCGCTGTCCGGGCAAACTTTTCCTCATAGCACACTATATGGCATATGCCCGTCGTCAATAACCTTGTCAGAGCAGAACAGTAGGGCGTTAAACCCCATTTCATCTCATTATGCTTTCAAGTCCGGTCCGAGTAGGAGCCACGGTGGCTAGTTGGTTAAGACACTGGCTCGCTAGCCTGGAGGTCGGGTGTCCGATCCCTGCATTGGCCGAGAAAGTTCATCTGGATTTTCCGGCGTGGTTTCACCTTGTCAGTGGTGCAGAACGGAGTGCCTGACAAGGACAGCTGTCTAGTCCTTCGGATGAGACGAAAAACCGAGGTCCCGTGTATACATTGGAATGCACGTAAAAGATCCCTTGGCAGTTGGAATTCGATATAAGAGTAGGCGATAGTGCCGCTGCCCGGGCAAAATTTCCCTCATAGCACACTGTATGGCGTATGCCCGTCTTCATTAGTCCAGCATAGGAGCAGAACAGTAGGACGTTAAACCCCATTTCATTTCATTTCATTTCCGGTCCGAGTTGAAACGCGTGTGCTGGATGATCGAGGATATTTTCTCTACATCCAGTAAAACAGTTGACAGTCTTAGTACAGTGGCGTTGATTGAGAATGAAGATTGAAACCAATGAGTACGAGAATTACCTGTATAAAACCAACACCAAGAGAGACTATACAACACCTATATATATATTATACTATACCTTAAACCGGTCATATTTTTATGACGTCGATGTTTACGACACTTTTTATTCTTCTTAGTAAATCTTATTTTATCTGTACCAATAGCATGTACAAATTAAATTCTAAATATATATCAACCACATTTACACTGTAACTCACCTCAATAAAATGTCAATCAATGTATACCGTATTCATATTTAAACAAATATCTTATAACATTATGTAGAACTAATGGCTGGATATGATTTTAAAATAAGGCATATACTTAGTCGAATTAGCCCATCTTTTAGGTCCTCAAAACGCATTATTATTTGAAAAATATCTCAATTCGTTCAATGCACACCCGTCTCCCAAAAAAAACATAGCACGCCAATTGTTCACCCTGCACCACATAATGTATCGGAGATATAATGCAAGGGCGGGTGGCACTAAAACCAAATATTTTTGGGGGGAGAAGGATGGGTCTCATTCCGCGGCGCCGATATACAGGGTCGTTTGGAACATGCTATATGACATAGGTTGAGCAATGCCATATGAAATAATGAAGATAGAATCTGAACATGAAAATATTCTTGTCAAAACATTGAGAGGGGGCGTAACACCTCTAATCTCATAATGCAAAGCGCATTATTGCGTTTCCTTCATGTAGCCCCACCTTTAACTTTGGCTATATAGGAAAACCTCTTTGTAGATAAAGTTTCAATGACCACGAATTTCAAGATATTATTCTTACCATGACAAATTCCAGAATTCCTCGTTTTAATTACTGTTTTCGTTCTACACGCTTCTTGTTGCATGGTGCAATAATTTCGATACGTCACACCATCCGTACCACATACATTTAAATTTGGTAATGTGGGGTAACAATGATCTCTACAATTAGCACACTGTGGAAAACCAGTGGCAGTATCAGTTAAACACGTTCCGTTATTGGGACACTGCAAAGTACTGCATGTAGCATTTTCTGAAATGACATGAGATTAATAAAGTAAGATCATGACAAGGCCATCCGCTGGGGAGAGCGGGAACAATAACATAAATCAAATTTACATGAACACATTGTGTTTCAATACATTTTTGTGTTCCTAGAACGGACAATATAGAGGTCCGGGTGTATTTTATGAAAATGAAATCAGACTCTTTTAATGCATGGGAAGATGAATTCAAATTTTCAATCTGGTTCGTTTAAATCGCTTGACGATGGCATCAGTTGTTATCCGGTGGCTTACATAATAATATGTTTATATATTCGTTTTAATAAGGGTAATAACCCCCACCAGTACTCTGTTCTAATGGAATGTAATTCCGACCCAATTGGAACCAAACCGCAATTAGCTATATTAATGGGCCCGTGGCCAACATCTAGTCCTTATATCTCTGACATGTTGATTAGTACTCTATATGGTATAACATGCTCATTTCATGTAATGTTCATTAAATACAAGTCATTGAAATTTCACCATTAGGGATAACTTTGAGATATGGTTTATTACCGGGATTACCTTATAATATAAACAAATATTTCTTCCTACCTATACATGGTCGTCTGTACGCTACACGTATTGAACTCTGTTTTCTAAATGTGGCTAATACTATATGACACAAACTAGGATATGTGATACCGTCTTCACCACAAACAGCTTGTTGTTCTCTAGTTCTATTACTACAGACTGAAAAACTATTTACACAGTGAGGTATTCCATTCTGGTCCTCTAAACATGACAAACCATTATTACATGTCACGTTATGACATGACGCTGAAAACATAAAAAAATATTAGGTGTCACCAACAACAGCCAAAGTTGGCGCATTTCGACCTTAAAAACTTAACTCAGCTCAACTCAACGGATAAATACTGTCAGCATTGGCCTTTTACAACCCAAGCTGGATTTTTATACGCCCAATTTTTAGTGTGGGTGTTTAATTTCGTCACCTTGTCCGTCGTTCCGTCAACAACACGTTACGGCTGGCCCCCGGATCCATTCACTTGATTTGATATTTGTTTATTTGGCGCAATGTCTATTTTCTGTCATGTCCGCAGGTTTATTTTGTAGATTTTTGTTTTGCGTGCTGTGCGGTCATCCTGCACTTACTAATAGAGACTACAGTTTTTGGCGGATTCTTTTCGAATTTAGTGTGAAGCTTAAGAGGAATGCCCGCTTTCCGAAAACCTTGTGAACACGAGGCTAAAGTTTTTAATGGAATGTTTTTGAATTTGGTGGAAAGCATTAAGGTCATGGAAAAATGAACCCTATCAATTTTCAACGTTCCAAAAACTCTATGAACGCTATTAAATGCTATAATTCTTTAATGAATCTTTTTCAGATTTGGCTTAAAGCATTGGGATCAATGACCCCTATTCCACAGCCTTCCGTTCTTTGAAGCAGACCTTGTGATCACGATAGGGGCTACAGGTTTTAACAGACTGCTTTTCCAAATTTGGTTGAAAGCAATTGGATCATAAGAGGATGAACCCTAGTGTTTAGATTTCTTCACGGATCCTAGATCCTTATCAAATTTGATCAAAATCCAAGTTTTCTTTCGGTATAAGCTGTAGTTGAGACATAGCTGCAGTATGGGTGTATTCCACGCTTTGCCTGGTTATTTTTGATGACTGTTGACGATATCGCGAACTTACAGCCTTAGAGAGTTAAAGAAGATTATTTGGGGTGAAGTCAGTCACGATCTCCGGGGAAAAAGACGGACAGAAATGTTTGGCTAAACTTTTTTTTTCTACGGACTCCATATCTTGTTGACTGTCCATTTAAGTAAATTAATTAAATCTTACCCTTACAACGACCAGAGTAGACAGCAGGTATTCTTGAATTAAACCGACAGTTGTATCTTTGCAAACTGCAGTTGTTCCTATACGTCACACCATTGGACCCACACACCAGACCTTGTAATTTTACTTCCCTGGGACAATCAGGAACGCACACACACTTTGGATAACCACGCCGTACTCTGCACTCCCGGTTCTGTTCACATCTTACATTAACACAGCTAGCTAACAGAAACTTACTTCATTGATGAATTGTGGATTTATTTATAGAGCAGGATAGTTTTTATTAATGTGTAAAACAAATTTCATTAGATTTGATGTGCTCATTTATTCAATTTTGAAATATTACTTAACGTTGCGCATGCTTTTGTTATTAAGGTAAATGAAGAATGACGTCCTTAATCATATAAGGAGGCTACCCAACCACAATTAGACAGTTTGTTCCTGACCATGGGCATGAATCGGTGAGATCACGTTTCTTGAAAGAGACTATTCTTAAGTAGCAGACACACTAGGTTGATTCGGCCGAACGATTGAGCTGAATGATTAAGCTAGTGTGTCCACCGCTTTAGAACACATGACTAATATGTAAAGACGACCGTTAAAACCAGCGTTGCAAAGGGTAGAGCACACCGACCCTTCCTTATGTACATATTGTTTACTTACTGTGGCAAGGAGAACAATTGGGCGCACCTCCTGACAATATGGCCCATATAAAGAGTGTACTTCTAGAAGGATTAGGATACGGATTCCACGACATGGTTGCTATTCCACTAGCACAGCACTCCTCTCTTGTCATATTTAAGCCATATACATTACGACACAATCCATGTCTATTGATGGACATCCAACAAGTTCCACCTGCAGCTTAAGAACATACATAAATACACGTAATTACATATTCAGAAGCAGGTCGCCTTGTACCAGGTAGTTTTGTGTTCAGGACAGTAAGTTCAACACAATACTTGATGTCAGTGTTAGGAGTAACGGATGAGCAGGGTATCTTTCTAGAATGGGGTTAAAAATCGTATACGGTAATTTGAATTTCTATGGTTAAATGTACAATGGGGGGGGGGGGGGGGGGCTGTATTATGCTAGTTTCCACCTACTCTTCTCCAAATGGTTAACTTTGGATTTTTGTCCTATTCGGAGGATTATGTACACTTTCACGCCGATATGCGTACGACCAGTGCTCTACCAATCGACTACCCCGATCCCCTACCCATCGACTACCCCAGTCTCCATCGTTGCAGAAGACTTAGTTCAACATATTTTATTACTATTATGTAAACTTGCGTACACTTACACTCCGGTTGGATACGCCTACCGACTTTTCTTAAATCTGAAAACACCGATTAAATACATAGTTAATGTCCGCGTAGTTACAGTCAAAGAGAAAATACGTTTCCCATGAAAACCAAAAATCACTGAATGTTTTCACAAACTGCGATTAATCAATCATATTATTGAATTTGAATTGGACAGGTTGAATGCATTGAACGACATGCATAACGACTGCAATTTCAACCATTCTTCTATGCACTTATTGATTTGGGAATTGTAATGGTTATAAAAATATTAAACACTAATTATACTTCATAAATATCATACCAAATAACCCAGTATTAGGGCTGGATGTTATCAATACATAATTTAAAACACATCAATTGTATAGCTTATGTGAACTTTACATACGTGACTCAACGTAATATTAGTGTCAAAATTTAAAGGGACATTTTTATTCAGCTATATATGTTCCCCCTTGTCAGTGTTGCAGGATAGAGGGCCTGACAATGACAACCTACAGTCGATCGGATGCGACGAAATACCGAGGCTTGTTTACACAATAGCGTGCACGTAAAAGACCTCTTGGCAGTTCAAATTCGATACTTGGAAGATTGACCGTAGCGCCACGGTCCTGACAAAAATTCTCATCTATTACTCTGTAAGGTGTATGAAATTCTTCATTAGCCCAACCGGAGAAGAACAGTAGGACGTTAAACCCTATTTCATTTATTCAACTATGCGCTTCGTTGAACGGTAAGAACAAGACCCAATCATTCCGCTTCCGGTTCAAGCTTAAGAAATTATACAACCCCATAAAAGCTGGCCATTTTTATATTTCTATATTTTTGGGGAAGAGAGGTCTTGCCCAAGTTGATGTCTTAATGTATTAAACTATAATGTTTAAAACAACACACAGTTTTAAAGGCATATAAAGTCAGACTGTTCCCATAACATAGCCTATGTAAAATGTTAATAATCTGTACCATTTTATAGTTAATATATCTGCATATTTAATGACAGATAGATAGGTGGCGATGTGAAATCAATATAAACCCTTGTAAACTTTAAAGATGCATTATGTAAGAGCTAAATGGGCCTATTGCAAGTGTTTTTGTTTAGCTTCAAATGTTATATATATATATATATATTTTAGAAATTTTATTAACATGTCAAGACCATTATCACATAGGTTTAAATGAATCTGAACACCCGCGAGATTTAAAAATTTAACAATAATATGGATAATCGAGACTTAGTCTCGGTTGACAGGAACCGTTGCTACGATATTTCAGGATCTACACTACATCTTTAAACATTCATAAATTCGCCTACAAATGAAGCCATTTGAATGAAATTTACAATATAATATATACACCTTTTCATTATATTGTTTTGAAGTATTACTGCAATAACAACCAGCTATTTATGTAACATAATGCTTCCCTAAATGTCCATAATTTTTTTATTCACAGTAAGTGTATTCTATAGAATTGTGACCTACGTATTTACAGTTTAATTATTAAATGCCATTGAATCAATTTAACTTTTGATTCTCTACGATCTGGAAACTGTAGATTTAACTTTTATTCTAGGACCTCGAGGTTTTAATTTCCGTTTTGAAATATGAAGCATTGGGTCGACCATAGCTAATCAGCACCCAGTTTGTAAATGTTCATATTTGAAGTATCTTTATCGTCCTGAATATTTGAACTATTAACTACCCGGTGAAAACCGATTGTTTATATTTAGAAAGGTCAGGGCAGTAGTTAATGGGAACAACATTCATGTCTTTCATGCTTCTACTACACTGGTTTTAATACTATATGTATGTTATATGTACTGAAAACGCAGCACATTTATAAGCGGATCATTTTAAATCTCATTAATTCTAAGTTTGAATCCAATGTAACTGTCACCGTTCATGCCATATAAAAGCGACCTTCTGAAGAAATAAAATGACGGGTTTACCAAAATACTGAACAATACAGAGTCTTGTCAATATTAACATTCCAGGCAATCCCGCATTGCATTTGCATATTTGAGAAATTTGTAAGGGATGTGATTCGTCTATTTTGCTCCTAGCTCCCATGCACACGAAAATACATGTATAATAGCATAGATTTACTTAGGATCTGCCAATTTGCTATGGGTACTAAAATATGTTCAATTGTACATCCATTCCTTATATTCTTCAAAAATACACACCTTTCACAGTTTATTGTTCTCAATTGATTTCCTGTCATTAAAATGAATGCGTAAATAAGCTCAACTATAATATCAGTGGCCGATAAAAAAAAATAGACGTCTGACGTAACGTCTGAATATCGCTTATTTCAAAAATAGCGTAGCCGAAATGTCTACATGGGTTACGTACTCATTAAAAACAAAACTCTAGACATTTGGCATTTGATAGAAGTCTGTTCAAAAGCACCGAGTGAATAACATATCGATTTGTAGTAAATTATTGCAAACGTATTTTAATAGTAAATGAATCTATTAAGACTCATTTACGAGTGATGTAACTGGTGTGCTTCTAGACACAGGTTTCAAAGCCGCGTGTTTTTTTATGGATAATAAACGTGTTTATGGACACATAACTTGATTTAAAAGTGTGCACTAAACGTGATAAATAATTATTAGTCGATATAACGATATATAACAGGCAAGTCATTGAATACGAGTAGTTAAAATGTCCAGCGGCGGATCCAGTCTCGTGTCAGAACTGCTGGCGGAATGATTCGGAATATCCGGCCATTTTGTTATTAAAACACCGGTGGTCATTTATCAAATCATCTATATTCACGTGTCTTCTAGTTGGCTCATTAAACACTAAGTAGGCCGTGGAGCTTCTATCCGGGCAAATGTCCCTCATAGCACAAGGCATGGTGTACGCTCGTCTTCATTAGCCCAGTCGGGGCAGAAAAGTAGGACGTTCACCCCCATTTCATTTCATATCGATTTTTTAAAAAGCGGCCTGGATAGTTAGTATAAACTACTTTCTGACCTAATTTCGATCTTCTCCCGGTTTGAAATTATGTTCCTGGTGATTTATTCCTAATTATATATATCTGTAAAACCGAGACACAGTTATCAAAGACCCAGTTTTGCACCGGATCCTTTAAACAATCAATTATCGATTAACGCAGAGTTTATTTTGTGGTCAGAAACCCGTGACCATTTGATGATTTAGGTTTGCACTCAAAACACCGAAGCCTGGTTCACTGGATCAGAACATTAATGTAATTGCACAAAATCGATAAAATTAGTAAAATCTGACTGGCGGACGCGTGGCAGATGATTATCTGAAACCGGAAGTCACATGGTTACACATGATTATATTAGACACAGCTCACTTTCTCTCCCTTCCCCCCTTTTGCATGGTGACCTTTGTTGACCTTTTGGTGTAGGATCAAAGAAAATGGTTTGAAAATACATTTTCTGTCAGGTTTCGGTAAATATTCATGACTTTGAGGCGGAAGGATGCGAAAGTTAAGAGGCTGGTAAGGTTGAAATGAAATGAAATGAAATGGGGTTTAACGTCCTACTGTTCTGCTCCTAAACTGGGCTAATGAAGACGGTGGTAAGGTTGAAATGTATGCTACTTTCAGTTTGTGTATCTCAAATTTTCCATGGTGTACCTTAGACCTGTGTTAGAAAGCGTTCAATCCCGCGAAAATTTGGGGAAAAGTTAGACACGGTCTATAACAATAAATTCAATGGTGAAATAATTGGTGATCTGTAGCTATAATGTATGCAAACCTCCACCAACTTCCAAGCATATGTTTCAGTTTTAAAACTATTTGAACTATAGTACCTACTGTGGCCCAGACCCCAAAAACGGGTTTAACTGCAGGGGTTGTCATGTCTGCCACTACGACACATGTTAATGATGTGTTTTACTAAAAATTATGAAACGATTATCTTGTAGTATATAATCCTTGAGAGGCATTTAGCGATTGAGCACACTAAGAAACACAACAAAATTTATATGGAAAACAATCCCTGGGTTATACAAATATAAACACATATAAAGTGCTTGAAAACGGTAAGAGAATACTTGTCGAAACGTCGTGATTTATGTTTATAAACCAGCGATTGTTTTCCATATAAACTGAGTTGTGTATATTTTTACCTCTTGGGACATTAAATATTTTATTTCACATTAAGAATTATTTATATGTAAAACCTGGGAACTACAGTGGCTCAGTGAGTTAGACACCCGGCCTACTAATCAGGAGTTCCCCGGGATTTGCAGTTGGACTTCATTTGCAACCCTGGCCAAATTTCTTTCATGGCATCCTACATTACGTGTGGAGTCTCCATAACCCCGGTTGAAGCAGAAGGCTAGGATGTTAACCTTCCCTATGCCTTACTTTTGAATTGACGTCTGTCCAAATAAAAATATTGATATTAGTTTCAAATGTTTATTTTACCTAAAGGGCTACTAACGAGCTATTTGAAATAGATGATTGTGATTAATTAGACTACAGGATAATAATAGTTATACAGAAGTACAACAAATATTTGCTATTTAAACTTCTGTTAAAAACCGAAGGGTGGTTTCAAAGTAGTGATTGGCAAAGAAAAACGACTAGTCGTTCGGATGGTACAATAGCAAAGATCTTGTGTATACTATTGGGATCAGGTTAACGGTCGCTGTACCGCTGCCAGGACAAAATTTCCTTCATAGACTACTGCATGACATATGCCCGTCTTGATTTCCCTGTTGATGCCCACCCAACTTCATTATGCAAGAGCTAAATCTGCCTATTGCAGGTCTTTCCTGTTGTCTTATATATGAATTATTGATTTGATATTAATTAACTTACTAAGACTATAATCAACTCTCGATGCCATCGGATACACTAGATTTCTAATAGATTTAAATACGATTTGCGGTTGAAATGGATAATCGAGATATTTTTATTATCGTAACGACGGTAGCAATAACAATCGAGGATACACTGTAATTGCATCGGCATTAACTCGGCTCATAGTGAAGTAATTTTATAATTTTCAACATATTCCCTTTTCATTACTATAGCGAGAATTGTCACTGTCAACTCTTTATCCAATCATACATAATTCCCCTTTAATTAAAGGAGAGATAATTTGAACTTAGATATCCGAATATAATCTTTAAGTGGCATTTAGCGATTGGGAAACACATTAACAGAACACGATATCTATGGGTAAACAATCTATGGTTTTATTCTAAAAGCACGACGTTTCGACAAGTATCCTCTTGCCGTTATCAAGCACAATGACATTTAGTAAACTCGAGGTTAATATACAAGATATGCATGATGAAGCCATTTACAGAGATTACCAACCCAGTGGTTTAAATACAAAAGTGAAACAAAAAGTTAACAATTTGTTAATTACTGGACTGCGATATGTGTTATCGTCAGTGCGGACTGGGCCCCACTGTCCACCTGTCCGTGACAGGTGGGCCTAAGCTCATTAAAAAAAGTGGACCTAAGCTTATAAAGAAAAAAGAAAAAAGAGATAGAAAAATGAAATAAGAAAAAGAAAGGAGAGGGGAGGAAAGAAAAGAAAGAAGAAGGGCGAGGACGACAGGACAGGACACAGAACAGCAGAAATAAATGATAGGAAGCTTTGGTCTGAAATGCTTGGAAAATGGGTTTGCGGTTGTCAATTTTTAAATTTTTAAAATTTTCCTGAGGGGAGGGGACCCCCAGACCCTCCACGGATGCTAATGCGCCTTCGGCGTGCTAGTGACGCGCCTTCATTGCGTACATGCGTCGGCCGTGGTCAATGACCTGACAGGTGGGCCTTTGGCCTACCAGTCCGGCACTGGTTATCGTTAACCAATAATAGATTGATTAGTGTAAACACTTACTCGTGATATCTATATTCAAAACGTCAAAGAAGTGCATCTGGTCTATCAGAGTGTGTTGCAGGGTTTTAGGGGGATAGCCTTTACAATGACATGAATGATATATTAATTGTGTAAACAAGCACAATCGATAACAGACTCTTTCAAGCAAACTTATATTTAGTAGACTGTCTTCTTTGGGAAACACATTTCTTAGAGGTATTCTTTCAATTGTTTAAAGACACAGAAGACTTTATAACGGTTGCTTAAAACACACAAGTTTACAAATGATGTCTCGAGTAGGTAATATTATACATACAACCGCCGTGTATACATACTTCCGATTTTTTTTTTAGAAGAAATGAAAGGAATTATGATAATCATATTTTATCGACTGTTGAATTTTGACGCATGTTCAAAGCATTTCTTAACGTCAAGATAGATTATCAGTTTTTCCAAAAAGGAAAGGTGGTCTAATGTATCGCTTTATGGGAAATTTAATATTCTATAGTTACGAATAGAATGCGCTACCTTTGACCAATCCCACATTCTTATCGTGCGTCAAATACAATATAAATATTTCGGATAATGTTATCAATTATATGGGTTTTTCTCTCAAAATACAGGTGTAAATGGCTGCTGTTACCGTCTAACAATCTAAAGAGAGCAACAAGTGCAAAAGCCGAAAAAATCTGTATGGAAACCATGGTGGCTGTTGTGTAAGCCTATATTAGTATAGGCTACAATTATTACGGATAATGGAGACTGATCGAGACATGATTACCATGATAATACATTTTAATTCTACTTTCATCTTTTCATCAGCATAAAATAATGAATTATTATAGTGTGTGTATTATTATAGATTTGTTTTATTCGATTTTCAAACTAACTGTTCCTTTCGTTGTTTGATTTTGTAAACACACCTGAATGTACAGGATATGACGATCCAAATGTGGTCCCATATAAGGGTAGTGCTTAAAAAGGTGCCATTTTTAGTAATTATACAGAAATCGGGATGTCTGCTTAGTTTGTCCAAATAAGGAATACAAGAGTATCGAGAGTCTTGCAATGTCGCCCAAATCGTTATTATAGCCCTAATCCCTGAAATTTGAAAGTTACCCGTCAAAATGCTGCTGATGGGTAAATATTCGTTGCTTGGCAACGATCCGCATTTAGGTAATTGTGCTACACTGCTCTCTGAATTAAAAAAACCCAGATTCGTTCAATTTCACTTACACACTCTTAATTATTGTAGATATAAGGAATATTACAATTTATATTATAAACATTCTGTTGATGAGAAATGCTCTTACCAACAACTCAGCATGCTACTTGCATTTGACCCAAACTGGTAAATAAGTAACTGTAAGATATGGTATAACCTTTCCCACGGGATTTCTAGTCAATTACTAAATTTAAAGATAGATTTTGTTTAATTATCTGTGAATATTCTTTTAATGGCTACCAGTTAGGGACGATTGGTTTCGCATACTACAATAATTAATTACTAATTTCTTTAGATAGTGGAGACTAAGATGATTTAACGCCGAACATTGTAAAAAGCACCTGTGAAAATCTGAGCAGTTTTAACTTGTAGATAAGGCAGCATGTCTTGAGATTGTGGAGGGAGCTACAATAGCTAAGTGAGTAAAACTCTTGGAGGTCGCGCGTTCACTTCCGGTGTTGGCCGAGATATTTCAGAGGGATTTTCCGGCGTGGGTTTCAAGGAAAGCTGTCTAGTCGTTCGGATGGGACGAAAAACCGAAGTCCCGTGTACACATTGGCGGGCATGTAAAAGATGCTTTGGCAGCTGAAATTCGATACAAGAGTAGGTCGTAGCGCAGATATCCGGGCAAAATTTCCCTCATAGCACACTGTATGGCGTAAGTCCGTCGTCATTAGCCCAGTCGGTACAGAACAGTAGGACGTTAAATCCCATTTCATTCTATATAAGATTATGGAGGCACTCTTCAACAAAACACACCCGTCTCCATTCGCCCAGTCGGGTCAGAACTGTAAAGAGTTAAACCCCCATTTGATTCCATTTCATTTCAATAAAACAAGCCTTTATGACTCCACCTAATCGTATACGATGGACATGGAACTTCCATAATCTCAAAGTCTCTCCAAAACCGGGAAAATTTTAACAGAGAAAGCTGAACACTCCAGGTTGGCTGTATTTGTATTCGATGAATTGGCCTTCAACACCTTCAATTAATCTACCAACGAGTAATTTCTACGCACAGGTGTGCCATACCCCAGAAATCGGTTATCTCTATACGCACATGCTTATCTATTTCTGTAAACATGCGATTAAAATCTTTTGATCTAATTACAGACATGCATGTAAACAGAATTAAACAGATTGACAGGCATGTAAATAGAGTTAAATAGATTAACAAAATAAACTAATTATAATTCATTTTTTATTTTTTTTTTCCTTGAGCTTTGCGGTTTCCGGATACGTAATTTTGTTATTTGGCGATGTTTTTAGCTTTTCCAGTGTCACGGAGATAACATTTTATTTAATTTTTTACAGACTTCACTTAAAGGGATATAGATAACACACTAAAAGGTACGATTACTGTATAAAGACTATTATTGTAAAGAATAGACTGCCCTGTACAAGACAGTGCAATTATTATTACTTTAATTTCCCCAGGCACAGAAATATGGGGGTAGGGTTTGAAATCATAAGAAGCTAATTAGAACTTCAAAAATGAGCCTGTGCCATATGTTAGAACCACACGATTCGAATACTGTTCGAACAAATAATTTATTAGTAAGAATAATTGTAACTGCGAATATGATATACGACTTTACAATTGACTTATATAGAGCTATGTCGCTCGGTGGGTGCTATTAGAGACAAGAGAGAGAGAGAGAGAGAGAGAGAGAGTAACCCTTGTCAAGTCACTGCATTGCTTGACAAACCTTATGATCTATAAAGCCCACGCGTTACACCTCTCGACCCCCCCCCACACACACACACACACCTCCCCCACGGACATTTAAAGCAAAATATCGTTACACCACTTTATATAAAACTTAATATACATACATATAGGTAATATAACTTACCGTTTGAGGTATAAACAGTTTGTAAAAATAGAAGTAACAGGTATGATGTAACTCCTAGAAAATCCATGGAACACATCTTCTTCATTGATAACGATAGTTAAACAAAACCATAGACAAGTGTTCAAGCATAATTCTAGCGCACTCTTAATTCTTTACTGCCTATATAGAACTGTTTTTATTTTTTTTAATCTTTGCCTAGACCACTCTATTGATTATGAAGTAGTCTTTAATTTTTTTCTGCTGTGCTGTAGCCTCAAGCTTCCTGCGAACACTTGAAATAATACTTTGTCTAGGTCGAAGTGATTTTTACTTCGGTAGAAGACATGGCAACCTTTTTATAGGGCATAAACACAAATATGTCATCCTGGGGTCTCTGTACGGCGCGTTCCTCTAGGATGAACGATTGTCTATACTCTTCATCATTCTAATGACAGTTCTCGTGTCCTCAACCACAAGACGGCAGCTCGTTAGAGACACTTGCAGACTTTAAAAAGTTTGTCAGTTTATTCTAATTACAATCGAATCAATCTTAAATGAGCAATATGTTTGTCTGTCTTGGTGCTCCAGGAAACGGATTGGGTCCTCGTAGTAAAATATCTCGTAAATACAATGTCAGGAAAAAGTTCATGCAGAGAATAATAAGACCAGATAAAACATCTTTACATCGATCTTCACAAATAAGTTGTCCAAGACTGAATAATACGGCTGTTTTTCTGGATTTCAGAAACTTGGTCACGAATATTATTTATATATAGGCATTTAAAAGCTAAACTTAAACTTTGAGTATCTGTTCATAATCACAATGATTACACAGCGCACATGTTATTATATAGATAGCACTTCATCGATTTTCACTTCATTTATGTATTGTTCGCACTATATTATTTCATTGATCTGCTTTTATAACGGTTCTTTTCCTACGCCAGTTTATTGGGTATTGTAGTTTGTAGTTTTCAAAAAGCGATTTAAAAACCAATTTTAACAAAAGTCGTATTTAATTATCCATTTAATTGTCCTAGTAAATTTGTGATTTCTTTTCCTTCTAAATGTTCTTGAGATTTCTATTTACCTGATCTTTCCGAAAGTTCTCTTTGGTATTTCAGAATTCCAGATTAATCCCTGTTACCGTGGAGAAGCCCTTGATAGTCAATGACAAGATCTGTAACAAATCCAAATTGAGGCTAAACATACAATAAAACAGTTAAACCGTTACATCCTATTTCTATATTAAACATGCCACCCATATTATTACATCATCAGAAATTCAATAAATTCCTATGGTATAAAAAAAGTTTTTTAAACAAGGAAAATTTTGATAAATATGTCCCATAAGACCAAATTGTACACTATACTAGTTTTCCTCAATTATAACAAGAAAATATAAGCAATAATACTTTTAAAATTGCATTGAATGCCAATAAATTTGCCCAACCACTCCCCCACACGCTGAAAGTTATTGCAATAGCCTGCACCTGTTGATTATCTATATCTATATTTAGATGTTATCAATCTTATTACATATTAAGAGCATATTATTTACTATAAACAAAGTCTCGTTGAAAGACTGCTGTAGTATCCGAGTGAATTTCGATATTATAGTAAAATCTACTGACACACCAATTAATATGTAGGCTATAATAGACTGCACGCGGTAACCCCCACCATGACATCACATAATATTTCGCGTCATTTCAATATACAATAGTTTATTGGGCCAAAAATAGATTTGTGTTGTTTATAGATTGCGGGTTAGTCGTAGATTTTAGTGATAAGAATTGTACAGCCAAATATAGTAACCCTCCATAAATAGGAGCGACAAAATACTAAGAACATAAGACAAAAAATGAATGAATGAAATCACACCCTACCTTTAATATTATAGACCATAAAGACATTTCTTTAAAAGGCGTAGTTAGAATATATTGAGAGCGTTTCACTTAAATTTTCGAAATAACTGTGGGTAAAAAGAATATTAAATGTGGAATGAATGCGTGGTCAAAAATTTAGACAGGGTTAGGAATCCACTATATTTAGGTGCATTAACGGAAATAGTTTGATAAGAATTTGATTTCTTTTTATTAGTCGTGACTTTACCAGACATTTACAAAGTGGTAAGGCACGGACCTAGAAAGGAGAGCGTGTAAAGGCACACAGTTGGTTTAAAATAATCTGATAACGTCGAAAAAACAACCTTAAAAATTAAGGCCCGGCCCCGGTTTTACAAAACATTTCCAGACTTAAAGTAGCTAAGTCTCTAACTCAATATCATCCAAAATCTTCAACATTGAAAACACGATTTATTTGTCAAATTAAATCAACATTCATGTTGTGATCTTACCGGGAAAAGATGGGCTTTTGATATCCAATATTTAAGACAAAATAAACATTTTACCATTGGTACACGAATCGTGTACCATAAGGCGCATCAAACCCAGTTAAATCAAGAGACTCGAGGGACGAGGCTAGACACATTGCACCAAATCAAACGGCGTATGTAGACTGGAATAACCAGACGCTAGAAATTTGCGCTCGCTTGAGACTGCTGGCTTATTTCGCCGAACATAACTGATTTGAAATTGGAGTAAAAACGGAAACGATTGAATGTAAATCAATTTATACAAATTCATATTACAGCATTATATGCGTTGCGACCCACTTTTGTCAATTTCTAGGTCCCAAATGTTAGCGATTTAGCTCCTTTAAGTTAAGAATTGACTCAAAATTGTTTGCCTTATTGTAACTAAAATATAGCCATTTATAAAAACTTTGTTATTTTAATGTATCAAATACACCAATAAGAAACTATGTGCAAATTTTGGGGTTTCTGGTTCAAAGGTATTTCTCATATATAGTGATTGAAAATTGAGAAAATTCTTAACTTAAGTCTGAGAATGCTTTGTGGAGTCTCTGATTTGAGTGATATAGCAAAAGTTAAAACTCGCAGGAATATCCGTCAAAAACTGCTCAATTCCGATCAATATGAACAGACATGAACTGAAATTCCATCTGCTCTCTAGTGTATATGGTACACTTTACGTTTTCTATTTTCCTCTCTTCTCATTCCTTTTTCTTGCCAGAATCTGCCAATCTAGGTTATTTCAACTTATACCCCATGCCCCATCCCCATCCCTTCAGTCTGCCATGCCTAGGTAAATCCGATACTGGCAACACCGGTCTACATTTCTTCGAAGTTGAGCGGTCGGTCATTTTGCAATCTACGGTAATCATGAGGATGACCGCCATCTTTCTGTTTCGCGAGATCTAAATTAGATGTTAAATAATCAAGCAAATTCTCCAAGTTACATTTTGCTTCAAAATTTATATCCTTTTACATGTATTTACACAGATTTAATTCATTTTTTGTAATGTTTTAAGACCATTTAGATACCATCATCATTCTTTTTTATAATTCATTTTTTTATAATGCGTATAAATGGTGCATTACTATACCGCGTGTCGGGTTGATATATCTTCAATATCTTGATAATGAATATTTTTCTTATGACTTTGAACACCTGTTTATTGCCAAGGATGTTATCTGAGGCGTCTGGGTTCAACAAACACCATCCAGGTATAATGTGCACATAATGTGCACTTTAGTTTTAACGTATGGTAAACATTTTAACCTATTTTGATTTAGATATCGTTAACGGGTATACTGCAGGCTGCATCTGGAGGAGAATTGTGCTATGACAGATGAGATACCATCAATAGATCTTTCTTATTGCACAAAATTATTTGTAATTAAATAATATATTCTTATCCATGAAAGGGAATCTAAACATCTTATTCTAAACATATTTTATATTAATAAATACGGGATGTGCATGACTGTCGATTTTATTTGTTTCTATTTTTGGTTTATGTCACAAGGTGTTATTCAATAAGCAAAACAAAGAAATAACTAATATTTTTCAGAGCATAACGTCCTATTATGGTTGCCATTTTAACATTATAATTTACTAAATTGAAATTATTTCCGTCGTTTATAGGTTTTCAGTGCGAGAGAGAATTCCAAGCGAGAGATAAGTGTCAATGGTCCCACCCGAAAGACTAAACGCATATTCTTTACAGACCCAAGAACTTTATCTCTGAAAAGTGGGAAACGTCCTGAACGAGAGCGTGTGATGGTTCTTCTCGGAACACGAACATTACAAAAGGACTACCAAATTTCAACTTGTTGCGAATCGCTTGTATCCTTTCAGATTTGGGGTACGTCATGTGGGAAAAGGGCTATGGGATCAATGTTGTTATGACTGTGGTTCCTTGACGAACTCGGACGTATACAATGACCTAACGTGGTGAATTAAGCTGAACGTGATTAATTAAATGGAGGACTAGTGTCCGCATGACTGCTTTTACAACAGAGATCTGTATATCATAGCCGAGGACTCTCCATGTTCCCGAATCAACGACCGCGAGTTTTACAACATCTTATTAAGATCAGGCCTTTCGTTGAAGACGAAGACTCCGGGGACTACTGCTGCGTTTGATTGGTGTGACATTTACGAGTTTCTAATTTGACTTTGAAATTACGTAGAAATGTCGACTTTTCTTGTCGCGAACTCGAACGTTATTTTAACTCCTTTTTTTCCACAAAAATTGACGCAAAATTGTATTAGGAAAAAAGCAATTAATAGATTGTATGGGGAACCCAGAAAACCTTGTTTTTATTTTGGCTCTTTAATTTTACCATTTATGTACACTCTGGTGATTGATTTAAAAGTTCTTGGTCCATTTTAGACAGATTTATTTTTACTGAATTGCTCCATAGCCCTAAACGACTCTCGTACTATTAACAGAAACATAATAATGTTATGGATGGAGGGACTCCATAGCCAGGAAATGGAGTTATGAAACCTTCTAAAGTCATGATTCGTGAAATTACGAAGTATGAATTAATTAACAATCAAAAGGTTTCTTATTGTTATGGATCCGGGGTGGCCGGTGAGTATGGCGCTCGCTCACTGATCGGAATGTCCTTGGTTCGATCCGGATGTTGACAGAGAAGTCCCAAGAGATCATTTCACCCGGTTTCACCGTGTCATTGGTTCTGGACGGAGAAGTTAGGATTCCACTTACGACTGATTTATTTCCATAGAATTGCATCAAAGCCCTAAAGGCCGGCGTCGTACTATTAGAAACATAATAGGGCTATGGATGGGTCCTTATAGACAGAAACATAGGGTTATGAAACGCTCTCAAGCGGCCGAAGCATGATTTTAGAAATTACGCATCAATTACTTAACAACAAGTAGTCTGATTAGTTTGGAGCCAAGGTGCTTGGTGTGTATGGCACTGGCTAGCTAATCGGAAAGTTCTTGGTTCGATACCGATGTTGACAGAGAAGTTCCGTAGGATTATCGCGGAAACAAAAATAAACATAGACCGTAGTGCCCGCTGTCAAGACAAAATTTCCGCCTATGAAAACTGCATGGTGAATGTCTGTCTTCATTATCGCGGTTAGTGCAGACCTTAAACCTCATTTCATTACTCGTTATCATGGATTCAAACCTTCTATTTAAGAAAAAAAATCTTTGATATTACCTAAGATCTCCATATTTTATAATAATAATGAGTAATACTGAATCACGCATTCCTTATTCGAATGGCGGTCTTTCAAACAGCTCTAATTCGACATAACAGTAAGGTAATCCTCGTGGTAAAATATGTTTACACAAATATTTGTCAAGGTCACAAGGATAAGACTGGTTAAGTTCAAAAAGGTGAAAAATTGTATCAATACATTCAGTTAGATTATTCTGAAGGTTTTTAACTCAGTCGTGTATAATGAAATTTAAAATGATTTAAATTTGAGTTCAATTGATATGTGAATTGCATTATAATGTGGTCGTCGACATGTACTAAGAGTTTGGAAGCTGGTTTTCATTAGCCCAGTCATTTCGTTTGCAAACCCTTGAGGTAATATCGATCGTAGCAATTTTTCACCACAATAAATTGATCAAGCTTATTGTTTCAGTTTGATCGGGGTTGGATGTCCGAATGGTTAGCACGTGCGCGCTGTATCATAAGGTCTGTCATTGAATCAACTGGCGTAGTTTCGATTTGTACGTGACAAGAAGTAGAGTCGCCTGTTCATCTCCGGTTTTCAACCACTGCTAAAGACCCCTACGCACAGGCGAATTATTGAAATAAAATTGAACCATATGTTAGTCCCGAAATGACCTAGTTTGTGTCGAGTGGACGTTAAACCCCATTTCTCTCTCTGTTTCAGTTTGCTAATCTATATACATCATCAACCTTACTGGTTAGTGTCTGCATACAATCAATAATGCATG